TGTCCGCCGCAAGATTCATATCCGACAGCTTCGTTCTTCCCTCCTCGTGCTCGCGTTTCCAGTACCTATTCAGATTACAGAACCGAGGAATCCGAACGGGGAAATTCCCTCGATATTGGGCGTTCCGCGCACACTCGGGAGTTCTGTCGATCTGACCCGGCACCGAATGAATTCGCTCTTCAAATGAAGCGTCACGTATCTCTGGGCGTTTGCGAAGAGTAATCAACTACCGAGTAATTATATCGGCAAACAGAGGCGAGCGGAAACTTGGGTATGCAAGACGTGAGATGACCCGGCCGGAGTTGTCCCGTCCGACTCCATCGGGCTGAAGTCGTTCCGCGGAGGCGCGCACGCTCTCGAGTTCCCTCGGTGCCGTTCGGAGAGATGGGAAATAATAATATCTTCCTGAATAACCGCGATTTTCTTCCTACTCGGTCGATATGCTCGCCCTGTCGCAGACAAATAGGATTGTTATGAGACCCCGTTCAAGTGGGCGAGCCACTTGTATGTAGTGGAAGAGGGTTGAGATTACGCTGAGACCGGGGAATCGGCCTCGTGTTCAGCCTGTGTGAAGAGTATTAGGGAAATAGAAGAGACGCTCGTCGGGGGACGGGGGCGAGCTATGTTGGTAAGTAGTTGGCATTCCATTAAGTAGCCATCTTGTAGTAAAGCTGCCTATTCGCCAGCCGACTCCGGGATTGGGGATGCCTTCAAGGTTCGGGGGAGCGATGTGCGAGCGGGGGAGCGGATGAGATCCCGCGCGGGGAACCTTCGGCAAGAGTTCGGGGCAGAGGGCCCGCGGGCAACAAATAAGAAACTTCGCCCAGGACGACACGTACCGCCCATCGAACACAGTCAGGAGCTAATGTCTCTTCATTCGTCTATTCGTGGCTAGCTCGGATGGCTGGCTGGCTGGCTCGCTTGCTCGTCGTGGTAGAGTAGTCAATATAGCCCTTATGAAGGGTGGGACGCACGGCCGGACGGACGAACGGACGAGAGACTTCTATACGAAGCGGAGGAGCTGGGGATCGTGGGAGGAAGGACGATTCAGAGGATTAGCTTGTCTAACGAAAGCGGCAAACCAACGAGATTCGCGTTGTCCAGCCGGTAATTAAAAGATAAACCGTTTCCCGGCTCTATCTCACGCTCCCTTCTTCTTGGTACGCCCTCGCGTTTCAATGAAGGAGCTCCTGACGTCGAGTGAGCGCCAGACTTAGATAAGCTCCGTCGGTAGAATGACTCCAGCGGGAGTTTTCTTCCGAAGTAGGACACGTTCGGTAGGAATGCGGGAGGGAGCAGATAAGAGTTTCAACTCTCCTCCCTAGACGACAGAATGTTTTCATGGCTCTGGCAAGAAGAACGCTTCTCAGTCCATTTGCTTCCAGGGTCAGAAAATTCACGAACACCCCTCCTCTGCTTCCAAGGCACGGGAACAATTCTCGATGACGCTGTTTTTACGTTGGGCGAATATCGACTCGTCAGCTCATTCCAGCCGCCATTAGGAAGTTTTTAATGTGACTCAGGCTTCTGCCATCGCGGAGATCGGAATGTTTGATTTTCCGAAAACGAGTCGCAGACTCGGTGGCAGCGACGCCGCTCCCGCAACCGAGCGCTCACAATCAGATAGATGATGGAGAATGGAAGGCAAGGGTGTACATAGAGGGTGGTCTGACGCTCGGAGACATCGTTCGGTGAGAAAACGAGCTCGCCTTGCGTTGTATATCTTTCATTCTTCTGGAAAGATCTTGAATTGCCCGACGACGTCGTCGAGAGGGGCAACGAGCCTCCCTCCGAGACGAAGCGGAACCATCTTTCCTGGGGTTGGAAGGCGAGCGACATATAAACACAATCGAAGGCTCCCCGCTGGGTCTAGGCAGGATTTCAACGTCCCAGCTTCGAGATTCTGGGGAATCAATGAAAGAATTTCTTAATTGAGGATGATTCGACGTCCCGGAAGAATTCCCGAAGAGGAACCTTCATTCCCTGCCATGTAACGCATCCGGGAGGACCACGGAAAGGCAGAATTCCCCCTAAAGAACTCAGGCAGAAGGAGAGGAAATAACACGTAGGCGGACCCGAAGTTTTTTAGCGGTCGACCGATCGATCATAGAGGGAGCAAGCCGATGTATCGAATGAATGTGTGTATGTATGTTGTGGGAGTGCGGGAGCATTTTCACCGTTTCGCGTTCGCTTTCTCCGGAGTCTTGGCTGCAGCAACGCGACCAAAGTTTTTTATTTCACCTATGTATTTCATCGTCCCTCCGCTTCCCCATGCTCCCTTACTGCTGCTTGCGTCGGCGAATAATGCAAAGCGGCATGTGATATACAAACGCGGAGCGAAGAAATACCTCTCCAGGGATCCTTTGATCTCCGACCAAATGATCCAACTCGTTCGCTCGCGAGATGTTGCGTCGTCGGGTCGAGTGTTTCATGTGAACGACGCATCGCAACGGAGGAACTACAAAAGAATTCTCTTCCGTTTTCCTCCTGCGTCTCAGCCCGCTGCTTTCTTCGAGTGGTTGGATCCTCGAATTTGACTGCCGAGGATGTTTTCGCAAGCGACGTTTTCTGAAAATCAAGCTCGCGGAACCTGATCCAGTCGCCGCGCCGGTGGAGAGCGTTTCCCCGTGCGAGCAGAATCGAGCAAATGTCTCTCCACTATTCGCTCTGAACGGCGCGGTATATCTTCCTCGCTTCCCTTCCTCCACGCCCCCCCCCCTGGCCGCCGCCACAGTCCCCCTGGATGTTGCCGGAGACAAACCCTCCTCGAATTACGACACAATAAAATCTGTCGCAGCGTAAAATCCGGCGATTGCTGAAACGAGCAAATGGAAAACCGGGGGAAGCAATCTGCTTGATTTCGTGGAGGGACTGCAGGCTCCGGGATCATTCAATCCATCGCTATACGCGAGAAACACGAAATGGATGTGCACGCGAACCGGAGACTCAGGAACTATCCCGAGCCCTGGTAACATTGGGAGAACTCTTGCGAAAGGTTCTGGCAGATCACGGAGCTAGAATATCGCAGATCTGCATGAGAGCTTTGCACGAGACGCCACCGCTAAGCTGAAAATGGTCATTATCCGAGAATCGATCACCGTGGATTTTTCTCAGCAAATCCTACGGATTGCTCGCTCTTGACCCTTCTGTTTCGCGCGATGGGCCTCTTGAAAGGCTTTTCTTACAGCAGCAGATCGAGCGACCGAACGACCCACCGACCGAGCGGCTAGCCAACCACGCAGCACCAACTGGACTTCCTAACCCGTCTGGTGTCCGTCTGATATTTGTTCGATAAACACTCCCGTCCAACAGACGATGATTGAAACCTCGATAGCATCTTCACTCTGCGGGCAGAAAGAACTCCGCCGTCGACAACGGAAGAAACCATCTGCGAAGGAAAACCGTTCAATGCCACTGCGACCGTGAAAACATGTGCGGGGTCGAGACAGTGTCTCTGTGAATCACTGATGGAAAACGCGTGAACCGCGACTCGTTCGGCCGGGGCGGCGTCAAATCCGTTACGTGACTTCCTTGACTACCCGACCTCCGACCGAGACTGAGCCCACCATTCTCGGGTTGGTCGTTTGAGGCGACTCCGGGGAAAGAGACCGGGGAGCATTCCCGGGAAGTCGCAAGGGACCTTACGGGGGAAAAGAACAATTCTCAAGCCATGACTTCTGATTGTTTCGATAAATACTTCGATTCGCCTGAATACTTGTCACGCTGTTGTGTGACCGCTCGAGGCCCGACTTACACGTGGATCGCACCCGTCGCGAAGCCACGATCGATGGAAAGCTCCCACAAAATGAACTGCAGTCTTTGTTCGAATAGCAAAAGAGTTGGACAGACCACCGGCCGAGAAACACATGACCCGGTCTGCTGCCGGAAAGGCCAGTCTCGAGTCCGACGAGTCGGCGAAGAAACCTTTTTCCTTGTACCTACATAGATGAAAACTTCCCCGCCGAGGGACGCCGGCTCTTCGCTCCGGTCCGCAAAATGGTGGGAACTTCTATCAGAAGCTGTTACAGCGCTGTAGCTAAACTTTCGACAAATTCCTTCCACAAGCCGTACAGGTGACGCTAATGATTCGACGACGTAGTAAAAGAGAGCTCCGCCGAGGAGTTCCTCCGACGGGAGCGGAGAAACTTCCAGCTATGGTCGTGGTTGGCGACGGGAACTTGCGAGATTTTCTACTTTTGCTGTATTCAGAGCGAGCGAGGAAACTCTCGCAAGAGGGGCCGGAGCCTTCGTTGGGGTCCGTACTGCCGGTCAGTGAGTTGAGCACGCAGTCGAGCCGGCGGTCGGTTGGTCTTTCAAACATGATGTATGGAGACGGATGCGAATGGACGAGACACGCTTCCCTCCGACACAGAAGACTCTGTGAGGCGGACTCCGCATGAGCGCAGTCTACCTTTCTTGCTTCCGCAATACACAGCGCCGACTCCCGAGCTCGCTACTTTCCGATCGGAAGGAGGAACAAAGGGGCTTCTGACTTTTCAATAAACGCTTCCCGGGGACCGAGTCTTTCGGGATCACGCTGGAACTATTGTTCTCGACGCAACTTTTATATGAGCAGATCCATGCGGAATATGGAGGGATGTTATCGTATTCGAATAATAATTATCAACATTTATTCACGTGGTTTGTACATGGCTTGTCATACGGCCGAGCATATTTCTTAATGATCAACTTCTAGCTTCGAAATGGATTTCATCCAATGATTGCTTATATTATTCTGGGTACGTGGTACTAAGAAGAACTTCTGGCGTGCAATCCTCTCGCTCAGATAAGGTCGAACAAAATTTCAGCGATGGAAGAATGATTCCTCCGCTCGGGTCGCAACAGATCACCGAGTTACCTAGTCCAACAATGTCCCTGCAGAGGAACCCAGCCTAGGACCTAAGAAACTAATATCACGGGAGTCTCCGAAATCTTGTTTAGCAAACAAAGTTCCAGATTGTTCATCTACGCTCTTGAGACAGCGATCCTCGATCCCAGCATCAATGCAGAGCGTCTGTAAAGACAGGAGAGAAAAATTATAGATTTTTGAATATTAATGAAATTCTAGTTTTTTTTTCGCCAATTCACATCAGCCTCGCTCCGATCCGCCGGTCACGGTCGCCACGAGCTTCGTTCGGCGCCTTAAACAATGGGCCTTGTTGGTCTCGAGGGCGGAAAGGAAGCTCGTGCACGTGCAGAGCTAAAAACTTGTGTAGACCTCCTCTTATTCTCTTGCAAATCATGCAATGCCAACGAACGAGCGAGCTAAAAATGCCGCCGCATCGCACCCCACCCAGATGCATCGTATTGTGCCTTGCGACGATGGGAAGCCGCGGCGCCAAAGCTAGGTAGGCAAAAAATTGCCCCAAACGGAGTCGCCTGTCTTGAATTACGGCCCAATGCGCACGCCTGGATCTGAGAGTTGCACCAAAATCAGGCAGCGACTGAGCGGAATCCTTCCCGACAAACGGCGCGCCGAGGGAGATTGCGAAAGAAAGCTCAGGAGACAAACTTACATGGATTGAATTGAAGACTTAGTTGGTCCCCGTGCTGCTGGAGGGCGGCCGCAAGCTTCCGATAGCTCTGCTCGTCCAGGAGGTGCTCGGATTCCATTGCCGAGTTTCCGTTGAAGTCGAACACGATGTCGGGAGTGACTTCGGGCGTGGGATATTCCTCGGTGGGTTCCTGCTTGATTTGGATCGGAGGCATCTGCAGTCGTTCGGCGAGTATCGTCGTTGTGCTCTCGCTAGACGTCCGAGGTGAATGAGCCGGCGAGGAGATTTCCGATTGCGGTGATTGCGAATAGTCGAAGCTGGTTTGCATTTCAGGCGAGGTCGGAGTCGCCGGCATCTGATATTCGAACCGCGACGTTTTCGTGTCGAGTGGTGAGAGGACGCCGTTTTCCTCGGACAGGCCGAGGATCGTTTGCAGCTCACGGATATATTCCACGGCGCAGCGTAGAGTTTCCACTTTCGACATCTTCTTGTTGGCGTTCTTGTAGCCTTGAACGTGTTGACGGAGGGTGTCAAACGTGCGGTTGACGTGCTGCACGCGACGGCGCTCTCGTTCGTTCCGACGTGCTACAGACATCTTGTACTTGTTGTTCTCCTGAACCTTGGTCGTTTTCGTTGGTGAGCTCTGTAATGTCACGCGATAACGTCACGCCTCTCTCTATCGAATCGAACTCCACCGGCTAGCTGGGACTGAGCGCTGCCGCGCAAGCGAGTCCGGAGAGATATGAGCGGACCGGGCTCGGGTCAGGACCTCGCGATCCCAAGTCGGACGGAAACTTCTCCTTGCTGCCTCCAATCCCTCTCCAATAGAAAAGAGTAGCTACTCACCAATTGAGTCGGTAGTTGGGAATTACTGCCGAGAACTTGCGCCGGCTGCACGGTAAGACTCTGTTGTTGTCCCGAGAAATTGCTACAACCGGCTTTGAGCAACACCCGCGTAATAGGCATGTCGAGCTCCATTTTTCCACGTACGTAATCCTTGTGTTGACAGTAGATTGTATAACCAGTAGACTCGGTACTCGCGCACCACTTGCTGTCGAACTGAGGATCCGAGACTAAGAGCACCGGTTTTGAACCCCCTCAGTGGAGAGTGTTCGGTTTGGGTTCAGGAGAGAAGGCGAACCGGGGGGGGGTTGGGCTTCGGGCTCCAAGTTTTCTCCGCCGCCGCCGCCGCTCCGGTGGAGGCACCAGGTTGATCGTTGAATCGCTAGTATTGCCGCCTGCCGGTGCTGCAGCCGCAGCCGTCGCCCGTAGGTCGTCGTAGAGGTCGCGTGGCCGCCAGATGCAAAGCAGGCCAGTCAGTCAGTCAGTCGTATCGTAGAGGGCCCAATCAAAGATCATAAATCTGGATTTGCTCTCCGCCATCGCCGCCACCGTGGATCGTAGCCGGAGGAGGCTGTTCTTAGCTCGGAGCTGACAATACACCGAACTGATACTTACTTCACTCATTCACGATGCTTCGTCCCTGTGAGATTAAGTTATAAGAATTTGCTTATCGCTCGTTTATCCCTGTCCCTTGTTGAAATGGTCGAAAGACGATGATGAGGAAAGACAGCCAAGGTCGTCGGGTTCATTACTCGGAGCTTTAGGGAACTCGGCAGAGCGACGGCTTCGGAACTTTCCAAGGCGAAGTCCCTCTGATCCCATCAAACTGACCGTGATTGGAGTAAGTTACTCGAGCTCCCTCTACATGCTCTGCATACAACCTAAGGGGAGTGTCTGCGCGGAGACACGGAGACGGAGAAGTCTGTGGATAATAATCGTAGGAGTCGTGTGCACGTGAAGTAGACATCTCGTACGTCCGTCGACTGATGAGAATTCAAGTCTCGCATTGGAGACTAGAGCGTCCGTTCTCTCGACACAGGTGGTCTTCGACAAGGAAGATGGGGACTAAGCGCGGTGATTATCACCATTCTCCCTATCATTATGCACACGACTCGTCTGAATGTTTACATTTAAGTCGCAATCGCCAACAACAGATATCGAAATACCTCTGACGAACGAGCTGTACATCTGGAGCTTGTCCCGAGGAATCTTTTCGAATTCGGCAAAGTTCGAAGGAAGAGAGGAATTGCTCAAATCCTAACCCGGAGTTTGAATCGCTATTCGACACCGATGAGAATTTTGAAGCGTCAACGAGACACCGAAAAGTTACAATGTGTTCCGCATAGTTGATCGCATTCCCCTCCTATGCTGCCTCAGCGTTTCCTCAGGTTCTGTTCACACGAGAGGCCGGGAAAATATCGGAGAAAAACTAGGCGAAGGCAAACTACGATAGAGCTTTTGGGACGCGGGGCAAAGTCGACGTGAGCTTTACGGGAAATATGGCATGGCGTGCCCTCGTCTGTTGGTTTAGTCATCGGGTACTTCTAGAGCTCATCCCGACGGACTTCGGATATTCTCGGGTGACTATAATGGAAAAGTTCCAGTTTGCTCGTTTTTCTTCCGCTAGTCGACGGTGTCAAGGTTGGCAATGGAAATGATAATACGTGTCCCTCTGCACTCGAGCGGGAGATCCCTGGACGCTCCGATTTTTTCGTGTCTCCGTACCCGGATACATCGAGGATAGAGCTCAGGGCTCGTAGAAATCATTGTTTTGCCTCGTTTATTTGTTCGCATGTACATATGTATGATAAGTACGAGAAGGCGACACGATAAGGCGGGAGGCTGTTCGAAGGCATATCGGGTTTCCCCTGAGCGTCCCCAATCAATAAATCAATCTCCGGCTGACAAAAGCCTGCCAAGCGGCTTGTCCACCAGTTTCTGCAACGTGGTCGTCCGACTAGTTGCGGCCCAACGCGTACTATGTATACATGCTACAAGCATGCATCGGAGCACAGCCTTGAGGAGAACACTGGCACAGGCTTTCTAGTCGGGCTTTTCGGCGGAACGGCCGATCGCTTGGCCGTCGGTCGTTCCATCGGTCGGTGGGTCGGTCACAATGGTCCCGTATGTTACTTCTTTTCGCTCCGAGATCAGATATGTTGATCAACCTGTCCGTCCATATGTCACTATCGTGATCGGTAATCTTCGATCACTTCTCGAGAGCCAACCTTCAATTTCTCTCGAATAGATCACGAACACGCGATCCGCGCCGTCCGTCCTTCGTCCTTTGGTACTATCTCCTTGGGTCTCTTATTCCAGTGTCCCCTACGTTTCGGTGCCCATGCACGTCATTCGATCGGGCCGTCGAGGGATAAACTGTCATCGCAGTTCCCGCCGACCTCTCCGTCGTTGCTCGCGATGCGGCAATGATATGAGTTCCGTTGTCGTTTTAGACGTGGCCAACGTTTTCGACGTCTTCGATCGACTTCATTAGCTTCGCGGGAGGCCGGACGAATCGTTTGCTCAGTCAGCCATTCGATTCCCTGTCTCCGGAGCAGAAAACTCTTCGGCAATGAATAAGTCGTCTATTCGGCGCCGTCTCATTCTCGGCCACCGCCTCCTCTTTTCTCTCACAGTAGACATAACGGGTTGAACAGCTCAACAGAAAGAAGAAGGAGGAAGGAAGCGCCACGCCGACATAGGCATGGGGAGACATACCTTCGGGGAGGGGGATCGAGCGAAAAACGGAGGAGTTGGAAGCGACGAGTTTTTAGCTACGGTACGGGATTTCTTTATTTGATTTTGATTCGGTTTGCTCTGCCGGTTCCGAAGAGAAGGCCATTTCAGCGACAGCGAGCCGGCCTGCCTCTCCGAACCCTCCGAATTTTTGGATCGATGACTGGTAGGCTTGCTGGCGAATCGGTTGACTAACTGTGATATGCGAGTTGAGCCTCCATGAGGAAATCGTCGCCAAGCTCTCAACTGCGAATCCGTGAGAATCGACTCCCTCACATGGTTTTGCATGGATCCAAGATCTTTGTCGCATTACTCGGTCTCGATCCTCAGCCTTGGAAGCAGGGGCGGCTCGATGTCACGTCGCGTCGTGATGCCTCGGTTTCCTCAGCTGGTGACGGGGGATGGATTTTCCATATTCATTCTTCCTGAATGAATTTCAGTATTCATTTTCCTTGGATGAATTTTCAGGATTCATTCTTTTCCATTGAACACACAAATCATTCCGGGTCTTTTATCTCTTGCATCTGAATGTTCCGGTTTTCTGCGAGCTCGCTCCGAGGTCGGCATTTCCCATCATCCTGCTGGAGCCAGTCGATGTTCATGGTCCGCACATATTTGTCGGGCTGCGTTCAAGACGGGACTCGGTACGCTGATTGATGAGCGGTTTGAGGACGAAGACTGTTCCTGCTTGACGGGGCTGTTTCGGATGTATGACACCGGACAAAGCGTCCGTTTGCGCCCTCCGATGGAACATCTCAACAATCGAGATGACAACTTGTATCAAAACCCTTCTGCGCGTTGGGTGCACCTCGACTTCGGCTGTACGCCCGTATTTGTCTTCAATCGACTACACACACCCGCCTCCGTAATGAATGTTTAGACTTGAGAGAACCAGTAGATGACAGCCACGACAAGGGGCTTCTCCCCGGGGTCTCCTCACCGAGCTGTCTGAGGTTCAGGACAGCGATCTTGCGCGAGCTTATTCCGAACCGGCCCGTGAGCGAAGCAGAAGATTCCGCCCGGAATCTGACGTTCCACGTTCAAGTGGGCGTATTGGACACTAATCAAGACTTCTGCTGGGGATTCGGATTTTCGTCATGAGTCCTCAGGAAGATGCGGAACGGATCCAATACCTGAAAGAGCTATATTTACCCCGAAACCTCCTCTCCATCGAAGGAGGACGTCGCGAACTTTGCCGTGGCCCGGGTGTTCGACCTCCTTTCCGCGACCGAATCGGATTTGAGGGAAAAACGAGGGGAAAAATAGGATCGAGCCGTTTGTTAGCTTTATCACAAAACTGTACCGTATACTCGCGTCGATCAGCATTGACGTCTTTCCCGCGTAATTCTCCTGCCTTCGATCGCTCACCCCTGAGAGATGTTTCTATTTGTCTTGGAACTTGATTGTTGCCATTGACGTCTGGATTGTTGTTTGTGCGGTCCCTCCTCCTGTCTCATTGTTGTGGCAGCCGTGGGACAAAGCAGCTCCCTTCGACCACGCGACGGTATCGTCCGACCGCACGGCGGTTCAATGGAGAAAATATTTAAATTCAGGATCACATTTTCATTTGGTTCCCCGATTCCGAATCGACGAGAGACGGCTCCGTATCTCCATTAAGGGGACGGGATCCGGACAAAGTCATGCGAAACTTCGCCAACGTCTCCCGCCGAGAGGACGCCGATGCGTGTCCCGGACGACGGGGAAAGAAGAACGGGAGAACGGTACCTATCGGCGGGACTGTGAGGTGAGGCGTTCCTGCCTCCATCGACTGAAACTGAATATCAATACTGTGTCATGTTTTTTGATAGGCCCTTCCAGCCTCCGCTGCATCAGAGGCCCGCGCGCGTATCAGGACGAAATTCGACTTGGTCTGAAGGAGGGAAGAAAAACTTCAAGGACCACGGAGCCGTCTCAGTCAGGGTGATTCTTCAGAGCCACATTCTCTGTCGGTGGTCAAGCGGCGTTTCGAGATTCGGTCCATCAATTAAGGCGCTGAATTATTCATAATTCACACTCAATGAGGGCGTCAGAATGTTTTTTTCATCACCTGAGCGAGACCGACTAATCCAATAACGATTTTCTCAGCCCGTATAAACATAACGAGACCGGACGGAAGGGTCTTAGGGCAAGTCCTCTCCGCCGCTCGTTGACTCGGAGCCCTGAAGCTTCAGTAAACATTGACTTTTCAGCCCTGAGAGCGACGCCGGCGAAGATTCGATCTGTCTTCGCAGGCTACGGGCTGCTGCTGCCGCCGACCACGAACCTGACTGACTGTCAATGAGTGGGAATTCTCTCGCTTACTGATAGGTAACTCTTCGACCGCTGCGCCCACCGTGAACAAACGGACGAGGAGCGCTGATGCTCAGTGATAATGGACGACCTAATGAAGTGCAATTTCT